GATAAAAAAAAAAACACTAAAAACCATAAAAACAATAATGATTAAAATATGATTAAGAATGTCAATGACAATTGATAAGGGTGCCATTAGCCTCCTCTTATATAATATAGGAAAGTATTAGGGGTGGGCTAAATGCATCCCTATGCATTGCTTAATGTACCTTTATCCATGAATTTCTTTCTCACACATATCAAAATCAATACATGCGTTTTACATTTCCAATACTTGAATGACCTAATTCTGACATCAAAGGGGGTGCCATTAGCACTCCCCGAGTATTAATGGCACTTTTAACAGGGATGCTAAATACATTGAGACTTAAAACATGATTGAAACATATTAAATATCAAAATCAATCAATCAATCAAATAATATAATATATTTTATTATTATTTATATTAATATACACATCATATATATATATTATAATTAAAATATATGTATAAATAATATATATATATATATATATTATAATTAAAATATATGTATAAAATAGTTATATGATATAACTTAAAATAGTAATAAGTAAAAGTTAAGGGTGCTTAATTGCAATATTGGACCCGAACCGACGTTAAAAATATAATAATTTGAAAAACAAATAAGATATTTATAAAAGACTTGAAAATGTAATTACTTTTACAAAAAATAGTATTTCAGATTTTTTTTGGATTATTTTACTATTTTTAAAAATGATGTAATTAAGCGATTATGAATAAAATAAAATAAAATAATTAATATTGTGCAACTCAGAGAGTCATAGTTATTTACAAAAAAAAATTCATCCTTACATATATTTTTTAATAAATAAATTATCGAACTCTTAAAAATTGATTACTTGGATTATTTTAACCCAAAAAATGTTATATATTCCTTGCTTCACTATTCAAATAAGTGGGAAAACGATTTTTAAGTTATGGATTTCCTTATTTTTAATCTATCCAGATAGTTGTTAAATAAATATTTTTATAATACGTAAGGATTTAATAATATTATTATTATATTCGATTTAATATGTAATTTGGTAATATAAAAAAATATTTTTTAATAAATAACTATTAAAAATTAATCNATATATATGCATCAATATTAGACTTGTATTCTAGTTATTTAAATATTTTTTAAAAATGTCAATTTAAAAGTGATTTTTTATGAACATAATATAAATACAAGTTTCGATAAAATTTAAATTGTTTTCAGTAATTGTAATATTATATTCAAAATCATGCTAAAAATACAGTGACTTCAAAAATGTAATTATATTTACAATAAATAGTATTTCAAATCTCTCAGACCTTGACCAGATAATATTTCCAAATGTCAACAATTAATATTATCGGAATACGACGATTATTGACCAGTCAAATCCGATGTTGATCGTATGAAGAGCTATAATTACTTCTTTACTCGGCAAGTGCTAACCGTGGTAAGAGTTAGCGTCTTCACTTAACTGATAAGACTCTCGGTCCTTACTTAAATGTTAAAGATGTCACATTTTAAACAACACAAAAAATATTTTAAAAATACATCATCTAAAATAAAAACTAAAATATAAATTTTGTTTTATTTTCTTGCATCAATGTCTGGTAAACTTTTAAATTTAGAGCTAGTGAGAGCTCGATTAAAATTATTCTCGCATACTGGATGATCTTCATTAATGTTCAAAACCCTTTTTTGTGACTGTTCTGATGGCTCCATTAGCACAGATTTCCGGCCAAATCGCATACCGGTAATGAGGCAGAATTATTATCGCCCAAAACGAAAATTGTATCCTCCAACATTAAGATACATAGCATTTTACGAGTCTTCCTTAGGAAATACTTGGATTTGTAACATCAGATGCACGAGCATCGATTCTCCATGTGTTAACCGAATATCGAGCCAATAACCGAAACATGTATTCCTAAACATTTATAGTTTGTTTTTCGATACCCGCAATGTCGTCAAAATGATATTTGCAATTTTTATCATTGATCTTATTGTCACAGTTGTATGGTAATAACCTCCCTAGTATACAAGAGGTACAAAAATAACATATAAATCAAAATTAGCGTGTAATGGAAATGTGTTGTGCGTTTGATGTAAGAAAGTTTACCATGATGAACGACGGTGAGTAACGGGTCTATGGCAGTCAATGCCAGTCAACGACTACAGTGTTTTGTTCCCATTAACGACAACTTTATTAGATTTGTGGGGCCCACATGGATTTTTTGTGGGCCCTTTCCATTTTGTAGAATATTTGGACAAAGCGGTGGTTAAATCTGAAATTTTATTCATCATTAATCTGTTGTTTTCATTGCATAACTTAATTAAAATACATGACTGTCTCTAAATATCTAAATTTGCTATATAACAAAATATGAAACACTAACGAACCATTATCAGTGCTACCATAGGAATTTTGCAAAGCTACCTATGGGCTCAGGTTTCACCGAAATAGAAAAGGACGCACTACTGGATCTAACTATATTTTCACTTGTCCTTATCTTTTAAGGCATTTAACACTGTACTCGTATTCGTTTGTACCGAAGTGAAAGACTACAAAAACACGTCTTTTCTATGTACTAGGCTCTCACACATTAAATCATTGAACATTTATGTATCGTCGCTATTGAATTGACAAGAAAACAAAGTATGGGTACAATGAACCGAAAACATGGAGAGACGTCAAGTAGCTTTCATGTTCGAATAATTAAGACAGTGAGCAGAGGATGGAGAGAGGCAACATCGGGAGTACGAAAAAACGAGGGATTGAGAGTTTTCCTTTTTTTTTTCATTTCATTACGTTTTTAGTGATTTATTTTAAAAATGTAGAAAATATTGTAACCGTTAAAAACATTTAGTAAATCGTAACTAACACAGATTTTACTTTGACCTTTAAAGGCTTATTATTATTATTAAAGTGTCTCTAAAACCTTTAGATACGCTTTCAATAATGTATAATTTAACTTTTGAAGTTTAAAGATGCAAACCTTAATTTAGACTTATCTTAGGGGCTGTTTGGTTGGTTTTTCATTAAAGGGCTATCTGGTTAGTTTTTTATTAAGTCATGTATGAATAAAACTGTCTGTGTGGAATAATCTGTTTATATAGATTGGAAAGATATTTGTTTGGGAGGGCTTTCTCATAAATGAAAGGAACTTGTTTTTTTTAATTGTGATAGACAAGTTTGGAAAAAAAAACTTGAATTGCTGCATAAAACTCTCCCTAAAAGCTTACTGAATAAACTTTTTTCTATATCATTAAGCCATTATCATACGATCATATATAGCTGACCGAATAAGCTGCAAGTCTTATTTAGCTTAATAAACTGCTAACAAACAAGCTCTAAGTCATATATGGATAAATGCGTCTATGTGGATTATGTTAGCCGATGATATCTTCTGTATTATTGGCATGTATTATGTGATTATTCTGTATCTTCCAATTAATTAGAATTGATTGGGTTTCCTTAGATAGATCCGTAATTACCTCTTTTGTATCACTTTGATTCTCCTCTCTCCATAACGTAGACACACTATTAAATACCCACACATAGTAATCACATCGTGAACGTTTTAAAAAAAATACCCTTATAATTTTGTGAACACATTATGAGCATTTTTTAAAGAAATACCAGTATAATTTGTGAACACATTATGACACACTCTAAATCTACGAGATTTGGTATAGTTTGTGAACACCAACAAAAACAACAAAAGTAAATCTAAACCGACTACTTATGAATATCATAATAAGAAATTTTCTTAAAGTTGTTCTTATTGTGTTGACAATGCGTTCACCTTGTGTACATATTTAATTATGAATATATATGCATGTATGTTACTTAAGAGAGGAGAGGAGAAAGATATATTTATGGAATTTCAAATGTTTTCTTAAAAAATCCATTAATTATCTTATTTATTATAAGTAAAAGATAGTCACATAATGTAGTTAGATACATCTTAATTTTAATATTTCATTTTATTATTTGTCTATGTTGATGTTATAATATAGTTTTTATATGGTTTTGAGAAAGTACTAATGTTTTTATATTTGAATAAAATATAAATTTGAAAACCTCATAAAAACTGAATTTTTTTTATCAATATTAATATCAAAATAACTATTTAAAAGTTTTCGTTTTTTTAGTGTAATTTATTTTAATTTTTTATTATAATTTAATTTAAATTTAATAAAAAATAATTTATTTTCGGTTTAATGATACAATTTTTTTTATAAAGACAATAATTAAATATATTCTGTTAGAACTCAATTATCACCTTAATTATATTTTAAAATTTTTATATTAAAAATGAGATATTTATCATGTATTTGATTATATTTATCTGAAGTTAATTACACAAATTAATTAATTGTATGACACACAATTTAGGGGCCGTTTACCAAACGCTTACTCGGGTAAGTGAACACCAAGTCACATTACCTTATCGGATGAATATGGTAAGAACCAAGAATCTTACCCGGTAAGAGCGAAACAAGGACTAAAAGTCTTACCCGGTAAATGAGGCTGATGACTCTTACCACGGTAAGCGCTTACCGGGTAAATTGTTGCATATGATACCATTTTGGTGGACTAAAATCTTACCCGGTAAGTTAATGATAATGTTAAAATTTGTTGGTAAGCACTTACCGGGTAAGTGTTTGGTAAACGGCCCCTTACTTATAATATTAATTTCAAGTAATATGCATCAATAAACAGTACGTAATGCATCAAAAATAGTTTTTAAGAGTTTATATCAAAATACTACTATTCATCAATGAGTGAACACATTCATCTCCATGTTACCAAAGAAAAAACGTACCCGAAAACTACAAAACCCTTGTTTTTATTGCTGTGAAGTTAACATCACCATCGAGTTTGATCCCACCAGAAAACTCCAAATCCAGTTAAAAATGGCGATGATCGATCTAACTACACATCTCTCCAAAAACACAACACACTTCTTGACACGTATCTTCTTCCAAATACCACTATATTTACACATACACACACACATATGCTCGTGTATCTCATCTTCCATCTGAAACATGCCCACTTCAACTTCTATCCACAATCATCGTCATCTTGATGACCTCCTTCAATCAGCTCGTCCTTTCCTCCGTGAAGAACTCGACTCGGTGGACAAAAACCTGCCACCCCTTTTGACCATCTTGCGCTCCGCCGGAGCCGGCGAGTGCTGGCACCGCCTCGGAACCTTTCTTGACCACCTCTTCCATGTCTACCGAGTCCTCAAGCTTTGGAAGGCACCAGATTCCGTCTGCCTTTTTGGTCTCTTTCATTCCGTTTACTCCAACTCCTATCATGATCTTGCAATCTTCAACCCCGTCACCGACCGGGAAATCGTCCGCAGGCATGTGGGTTCCGCCGCCGAGCGTTTGATTCACTTGTTCTGCATAGTACCTCGCCACCCTCTCATTCATGACGATTTGGTGTTTCGTTATACTGATTCAGAGCTCCGGGAACATCTTCAAGCTTCTGAAAGTTCTTTAAGGAACGTGAAAGAGGGTTTGAATAAAGAAGAGTGCTGGAGGAAGAAGCTCCAGGAGATCGTTCCGGCCACCGGAATCAAGGTGCCCCACATCAGAACCGGCGAACCGGTGGTTGTTCCAAGAAGGGTAGTCGCCGTTTTCCTTCTGATGACCATCGCCGATTTCGCCGACCAATACTACGGCTACCAAGACATGTTGTACGACAACACCGACGGCCGACTCGAGTTCACCGGAAACACCAATTTCGACACATTATGGCCGGGAAACGGCAAGCCAGGACTGTGGATGAACTTGATGTCAAGAATGGCAGGTGTTTACACCTTGCTAGTAAGAGAAGAAGCCATTTGCATGGCGGAAAGAATCAGCGACCGCCATGAAAACGGCGAAGTTGCAGGTGGTGAAGACATAGAACTCATAATCCCACCTGTTTTCGAAAGCTGCACGAAAATTCTTGATCCAAATGAGCAGATAATGGCAAGAGACATATATTGGGAAGCTGTTAACGACGATGGGTGGAAGAAGGAGAAAGGGGAAGAGATGCTGGTGAAGTGTATAGAGAAGAACCCATTTGTAGGGGAGCCACATGTGTTGTTGAGCCAGTTCTATTTGAGCAGAGGGAGGTTCGAAGAGGGAGAAAGAGAGGCCGAGAAGGGTTTAAGGGTCTTGTTGGAGTGGGGATGCCCTTGGGATAAAAGGGTTTCATGGGAAGGTTGGGTTGCTTGGGGTAGGGTTTTGTTGAACAAGGCAAAGGAGAGGTGTTGGCCACATACGTCATGGGGAGTCATCAGTTTAGGTCTTATCAAATAGAATGGGTCTTATCAATTAAGTCACAGGGCTTAGTATTGAGCAACTTGATAGGGTTGCTTAACTACGTTGATAGAACTTGTTAATGTAACTTATAAGACATCGATAAGTCTGTGTGAAGTGAATAAAAGAAGCCTTTGTATGACTTAAGATTCGTTGTTTGAAATAATGAAAATGAGTGTTAATTTAATTAAAGAATATATCAGTTTTAACATCTTGCTTGGAATTAGCTTTTGTAAGCAAAAATACTCAAGTTGAGGCTACGAAAGGCGTGCACACGTTAAATTAAGAGTTATTCTATCTTCACTCCCTCCAATTATTATTTTTTTTTTATTATTTCTATACCTTCTTTTAATTAAAAATAATAAAATATACCTAATTTAATTTATTTATTTTTAAGTTTTAACCCTTTAATATTTTCAGTTTTAACCCTTCAATTGTTANTACCCTACCCTACCCCTAAACCTAATAACTACCGTCTACCTACTCCTACCCCCTAAACCTAGCTACCTTACCGTCTACCTACCCCTACCCTACCCCCTAAACCTAACTACCGTTTACCTACTCCTACACCTTACCTCCTAAACCTAACTACCGTCTACCTACCCCCTAAACCTAGCTACCTTACCGTCTACCTACCCCTATCCCTACTCCTAAACCTAACTACCGACTCCTACTCCTACTCCTTACCTCCTAAACCTAACTACCGTCTACCTACTCCTACCCTATCCCTACCCCCTAAACCTAACTACCTTCTACCTACTCCTACCCCTACCCCCTAAACCTAGCTACCTTACCGTCTACCTACCCCTACTTCCTAAACCTAACTACCTACTCCTACCCCTACCTCCTAAACCTAGCTACCTTACCATCTACCTACTCCTACCCCTACCTCCTAAACCTAGCTACCTTACCGTCTACCTACCCCTACCCCTACCTCCTAAACCTAGCTACCTTACCATCTACCTACTCCTACCCCTACC